ACAGGTCTCCCCCGCTGAGAAGAATACCAGTGAGACACTGTGCTCCCTCAAATTTGCTGAGAGAGTTCGCTCCGTGGAGCTGGGTCCTGTCTCTCGCAAAGCTGAGCTGGGCTCCTGGCCCAGTCAGGAGCAGCTAGAGGTAACTGAGGGGCTGTCCTTCCTCTTCCCAGTCACCCCTGGGATGGGGGAGGTGTTTCCTCCTGTTCTGCCCCCATATGGGTCCCAGGGCTGTTTGCTGTTGGGTCCCCTCCACTGAGGGCCATCACATGGTGGGGCACAGGCTGTCACCAAGCAGTGGTGTCCGGCCAATGCTGCCAATTTGGCTCTTCCAAGCCCTGTTTTACAGCAGCCTCATGGTACCCCCAGAGCACATTTGGACACCACATTGCCCATAAGCCCATCCCTGTTCCTTCCCTCTGGGGACTGACAGAGGCTGACCCTGGGGCCATACCCCCTCATCTCCTCCCAGGGTGACTCTTCAGGGACTACAGCACCCCTTGGCCGGGCCCACACATCCCCCAGCCCGGGACACCTCTCTGGCCGTGCTGCCTCCATCCGCAGGAAGCTCCAGCCTTCAGGTGGGTGGTGGGACACCCCAGCCCTGCTCCCCACCCTGGCTACCCTGCCAGAGACCCTCAATCAGCATCAGAGGCTCCTGCCACCAGCCTCATCCTCATCCCAGCCAGACACCGGCAGGCAAAGCCAGTCAGGCTTTTGGCTTTTACCAGGGGGAGGTAGCTGATTAGTGATCAGTTCGTTAACTATTGGCTAATTAGCCATGGGGAGCCTGGTTAGCACTTCCCCAAAAGTGCCCTGCTGTGAAGCTGCAGCGTGGGGTGCCCATGGGCTGAACCTTTCTCCCTTCGATTTCAGTCATCCCAGCCAGACACCGGCAGGCAAAGCCAGTCAGGCTTTTGGCTTTTACCAGGGGGAGGTAGCTGATTAGTGATCAGTTCGTTAACTATTGGCTAATTAGCCATGGGGAGCCTGGTTAGCACTTCCCCAAAAGTGCCCTGCTGTGAAGCTGCAGCGTGGGGTGCCCATGGGCTGAACCTTTCTCCCTTCGATTTCAGCCTGAATTAGGGGCAGCCGTGGCTGCCAGGGGGAGCCGGTGGAGGGCTCTGCTTGGCCCCACGCAGGGCAGGGGCGCTGGGCTCTGCTGCTTGCAGGGGTGCTTATGGGATGGTTGTGGGACCAGCGCAATGCAGCACCTGTGGGAATGGTGCCAATGGGGTGAGGCAGAGATGGCCATGCCTGCTGTGACCTACACGTCTCTTTCTGCAGGGAAGCTGAGGCCGGTGCCCCTGTGACAAGTGCCAGCCCTGGCACCAAACCTGCTGCAGGACCAGGCCCCTCATGGTGCTACTGAGAGCCGGCTGCTGGGAGACACGAAGGCTTGGCTGCCGTCGTCTCGGCCAGCAGGACCTGCAAAAAGAAGGTGATGGCACCTCTCACATGAGCAGCATGGGGTCATGGTCTCCCAGCAGCCAGACCCCCATCGCAGGGTGGGGACAGTGGTGCTGGGCAGGGATCTGCCCCCTCAGACCCTCAGCTCTGTGACCTTTCGTTGTTACTGGATGGATGTTTTTAGCCCAAGTGGGAGCTGCTGGGTGCTCCCTCCATCTCTCCAGCTTTGTTCCTAGAGGTATCTGGCTGGATGGGGTGCTCAGAGCTAGGCAAGCTCCTGGAAGCGTTTCTGGGGGTCCAGCCTGGGGCTGCATCGGGGCAGCTGTCCCATGTCTTGCAGAGCAGCGCTTCCTCTATTTTAAGCCAGAAAACAAATCCCAGCAGCTCCTTTCCCTGTGTAGGTTTCTCAAGCCCTGTTGTTGCATGGAGGCACCCCAGTGCCATGCATGAACTGAGCTGCCATTCCCTGTGGTGCCGGTGCTGCCCTGGCACAGTGGTACACAGCAACAGGGTGGGTTTAGCGGTCTTGAATGAAGCTATTGTAAAGTTCTTTACCAGTTGTTTTGTCAAGAGAGATCACAGAGTGGTCAAGATGAAAGTGTTTGAAATATTTATACCCTGTTTACATGGTCTTGGAATGGAAAATAAGTATAAAACAAACAAAAAACCCCTCCAACCTCCCAGCCCAAAAGCTGTTTGGTTTATGTATGAGGATGGAGGCTGGCAGGGGCATGGGATGAAGTGGCATTGCCCCTCAGACCTCTGAGCATCCACTCTTGGGTATGCTTTCTCCTGTTGCACATACCCGACCACTGATGGCTCCTTCCTACCAGCTCCTCTCCTTTTGCTCTTCCACAGCGTATTCTATTAAAAAGAAAGCAAAAAAGGGAAAAATAAATTTCGCCTTTTGTAAGATTAGATGTTTCTATGTATTTTAGTAATAAAAAATAAGCCTGTTTTGTAACAAAACTTATTTCAAATAAACTGTTAAAGCCAGACCTCCTGTGCTGCTGTTGTTTCTGCAGCAGGATGGGTGGGTGCTCCCTCCCCTGGCACAGCATCTCCCTCACAGCTGGGAAAGCCCATGAGGTGCTTCCTCCTGGAGCTGTGCCTGGGAAAGCCTGGCACCACAGCCCCCAGACTGCAGCTACCCTGCTCCCTTTGTTACCAGGAGATGGAGTTGTCAAACTCTAAGTAAGCCCCAGTGCTGCAGTGCATTGCTCCATCTCGTGCTTCTCCTCACTGTGGGGGCTGTTGGGTGCTGGCATGGGGCCATGTCACAGCCCAGTTGGGTCCAGGCATGGGATCATCAGGAGAAAGGCCCCAAGTGAGGCAGAGGCAGTGCAGGCAGGACATACACGAAGCAGGCAGCATCTTCAGCCCTGGTCCTGCTGTCCTGCGACCGCACATTGCCAGGGCCTCTTGCTGCATGAGCCACATTCAGACCCATAGAAGAGAGCAGGACACTCCCGTTCATTCCTAAATCTTGGCTGTATTTGGATGAAATATCAGCAAGATTGGGATTGGCTTTAGTTTGTTTTTTTTTTGCTCAAACATATGAACCTCACGAAATTCAACAAGGGCAAGGTCCTACATATGGGTTGGGGCAATCCCCAGCACAAACACAGGGTGAGGGAGACTCAGGATGGAGCAGCCCTGAGAAGGACTTGCGGTGTTGGGTGATGAGAAGCTCCCCGTGACCCGGCTTCAGTGTGCTCTTGAGCCCGGATCCCCAGTGTGCTGGGCTGCATCCCCAGAGCGTGCGCAGCAGGTCAAAGGAGAGGATTCTCCCCCTCTGCTCCTCTCTGAGGAGACCCTTCCCTGCAGTTCTGCCTCCAGCTCTGGGGCAACAACACAAGAGGGACATGGAGCTGTTGGAGCGAGTCCAGAGGAGGCCACGGAGATGCTGAGCAGGCTGGAGGAGCTCTGGCTGGGGAA